TAAAATCAACAAAGCCTTAAACAAATTTATCGAAAAAAAAAGGAAAGAAAAGACTCAAATCCACACAATTAGGAATGAAAAGGGTGAAATCACAATGGATCCTGCAGAAATCCAGAAGATCATTTGATTTGATCAATCATTACATTGAAAACTTGCATTCTAATACAATGAAAAATGCATAAGAAATGGACAGATTCCTAGATACATATGATTACCAAAGCTGAATCAAGAAGATATAAAAATCCTAAATAAACCAATATCAATGAATGAAATAGAAGATGTAATTAAAAAACCTACCAACAAAGAAAAACCCAAGCCCTGCCAGATTCACTGCTGAATTTTACAGGAAATTTAGAGAAGACCTAACACCACTACTTCTCAAACTCTTTAATGAAATTGAAATTGACGCAATACTCCCAAATTCATTCCTGGAAGCAAGCATTACCGTAATACCAAAACTGGGGAAAGACCCAACTAAGAAAAAGAATTATAGGCCAATCTCCCTAATAAACGTAGATGCAAAAATCCTCAATAAGATGTTGGCAAACAGAATATAGCAAATCATCAAGAAGATTATACACCATGACCAAGTTGGATTCATCCCAGGGATGCATGGATGGTTCAACATATGTAAATGTAATGCATCATATTAACCGAGCCAAAGACAAAAATCATATGGTCATCTCATTGGATGTAGAAAAAGCTTTTGACAAAGTCCAGCACACATTCATGATAAAAAAAAAACCTCCAGAAAACTGGAATAGATAGTCTTTATTTCAATCTGATAAAAGCCATCTATGACAAGCCAACAGCCAACATCATACTAAATGACAAAAACTGAAAAATTTTCTCTCTAAAATCAGGAACAAGACAAGGTTTTCCACTGTCTCCACTCTTATTCAACACAGTCCTTAAAACTTTAGTTGGAGCAGTTAGACAAGAGAAAGAAATAAAAGGAAAAGCAATAGGAAAGGAAGAAATTAAATTGCCATGATTTGCAGATGACATGATAATCTACATAGAAGATCCCAAGAACTCCACTAAAAAACTGCTGGATTTAATAAACAAATTCAGTAGCATAATAACACGAAGTCAGCACTCAAAAATCCATAGCCTTTCTGTATGCAGATAACACATTCATTGAGAAAGAAATTAGGAAAACAACACCTTGGACAATAGCATTCAAAAAATGAAATATCAAAAAAATCATCTCTAACAAAGTATGCAAAAGACCTCTACATTGAAAAGTACAGTACTCTGAAAAAGGAGATTGAAGAGGATATCAGTAAACAAAAAGATATTCCTTGTTCTTGGGTAGCAAGAACCAATATAGTGAAAATGGCCATACTTCCAAAACTGTTATACAGATTTAATGCAATTCCAATCAAAATTCCAATAGTATATCTCACAGAATTAGAGAAAAGAATTCTAAAATTAATTTGGAACTATAAGAGACCTAGAATATCAAAGGCAGTTCTGGGCAACAAAGGCAAGACAGGTCCCATCACAATACCTGAGTTGAAAAGGCATATAAATATGTGAAAAAATGTTCAACAACACTGGTTATTCAAGATATGCAAATTCAAACAACACTGAGATTTCATCTCACCCCAGAAAGAATGGCTATTATCAAGAAATTGACCAGTAACAAATGCTAGAAGGCCTATAGGGTAAAGGGAACCCTTCTCCACTGATGGTGGGAGTGTAGTCTGGTACAACCACTATGGAAATCAATGTGGAGATTTTTCGAAAAACTAGGATTAGAGGTCCCCTTTGACCCAGCTATTTCCCTTCTGGGTATCTTCCTAGAAAAATTAAAAACATCATACTACAGCAATATATATGCATACTTATGTTTATAGCAGCACAGTCTGTAATGTAACCACCCAAATGCCCATCAACCAAGGAATAGATTGAAAAAAAATGGGGTCTTTTTATGCAGTGGAGTACCTCCTCAGCCATAAAGAAGGATAAACTTGAGACTTTTATAGGTAAATGGATGCAGCTCAAGACCACACTCATAAATGAAATAAACCAGATGCACATGTGTAAACATTGTATTGTCTCTCTAGTGTGAGAAGCTGAAAGAGTCAATAAGATCCAAAATGTACAATAGATGTTGTAAAATGAGAGGAAAGTTCCAAAGGAAAGTGAAACTGGGATTGAATACTCAGTGTATTAACCATTGTTACCCTCTTACTATATTGTCTTGAAATTTTATTTTTCTCTTTTAAAAAATTTTTAAAAATAAGTGCAAAAATCCCAGTATTTGGGTATGTATTTTTTTTTATTTTAGAAATAAAAGGAGGAAAATACTAACAGACCGACAACATTTTACAAAATAGCAAAGGATCAGT